TGGCTTTTCTCGGCCTACTTGTCACACGGCTAGCTTAGTCATGGCCTGAGCAATTTCCAGCCTTCCAAGTGTCCCTTAACTCGTGACATTGCACGTGAAGTTGTGGGGAGTCTTACCTCTCGGCCGTTAGGCGCTAAGCATGCTTAAGCACACTAACGGTGTGTTAATGGTGAATGTCATTGGGCTACACGTGACTTAGTACATTCTTATAGCCAATCAAGTTACTTAAGTACATGATTAGCACTAAACATGATTACCTTAATTAATCCTCATTAATGTCAATTAATCTTAATTAACATTAAGCTAATCATGATTATCTTAAGCTAATCTCAATTAAATAGCTTAAACGTGATTAAGTTAATTAAGCACGGCTAATGACCATTACTTAATTAACGATGGACGGTGTACCAATGTGAACGCGTCACAGTATAGGTATACCGGACTTGACATGAGGAACTTTACTGGATTAACTATCGGAATATTATTCCGAACATGAACTTGACATTCGAAAGTTAATTCAAATATTCTTGACTTAGACGATTAATCCGAACATTAATATATCGAATAGTTCGTCAACTTGGCTTATTAATTCCAGACTCATTAACTAAGTAAATGAATCGGAATTAAATCTGAAAACTTATTCGGTTATCAACCGAATAATATATCGACTAATAGTCGAACTTAGAATCTGATTGACTGAGTTACCTGAACTTGAACATGAACCTAACTTTTTATTAACAAAGGCTAGCTTAAAACTAAAAGCTAGTATTTTCCTTTATTAATAAAACTCGGGGTGTTACAATCCACCCTCCTTAAAATATTTCCGTCCTCGGAAATACTAAACTGAAATGTACAAGCTTAATATAAAGCTTATACTTATTGCTGACATGACTTGAGAGTTCAGTATTGAATACTGAACATCAAACTTGATTTTTAACTGAGAAATCAACAATTCACAACTAAGTGAGTTGATGATTTAATACTGACGGAAACGAAAACACTTTTCTGAAATAAAGTGTTCACTGAATAATATAATTCTGGAACGTACTGATCTTCATCTCCTGGCTGATTACGGGTCTTCGATTTGAATATTGATTGTGGTACTCCCCGTCATAGGTACCCCTGGAAAATTTCAGAGATGCGCACATGTACAAATGAGGATAACTAGCAATCCTGGCAACCACCTTTCATGAATGTCTACTCGACACGCGGCACATCGTTCACGGCACATTGTAATGCGGCATATTCGCTCTTCACCAAGTGAGTGCGGCACGCCTGCATACAGCACCTGGCGAACCTTGCACCTGCAATGTCGATGTAGTCTGTATGACTGATCATATCTGTATCTTGGCTAGTAATCCTCAATGTACTAAAGTGCTAACTCTCTGTAATTTCCCAGTGTACTGTGATCGAACATGGTATGGCATCCTGTTCTTCTGGCGTCATGCATACTTGAATGGAAAACTTGGTTGTCACCATGGCATGATCTGCTGCTGTTGATTGGTCTTCTTCGCCGTGTCGAAATCGACATGTTGTACCTGCAACTGTTTACCTTCCCTAAGGTCAAACTTAACCTCAAGAAAAGTTTATCATAAACTGATCCTTCCTACGAATTCTCAAATCATCTGTATTTGAGAATCGAGGCTCTGAATATACTGAAAATGACTGATAAGTCTTGTCTTATTAGACAGACCATCTTCGATCTTGACATGACTGACCTGAATATTCTTATGACTGAATAACCATGACTTGATTCTTACATGACTGAATCATCTTTTACTTGAACGCTGAAAACTATCCCGAGACAACTACAATAGTCGCTTCGGAGTTGAGAACATGATGTTTACTGACTTACCTGACTGGATAAGGTACGACTTCAAGTTTCCAGGTAAATCTGGACTAATAGTCTGTATATCAGACCGCCACATTTTACCCGGCTGAACAACTATTATACGCCGACCTTACATCATGAACATAAACTGTAAATCGTGAACATTGGCTCATGACTGGGTACTTTATAGGGCTGCTCCAGTATCAACTGGTCCCGCAAGTACTGAATAAATAACTGATCTTAAACTTTGGCAACTAAATTTCAGAGTATCTAACTGGTAAGATACCTGACTTAACTGACTCTAAAGGTTGTTATTTCTGGAACTGTACTGCTCCGGTTCCAGCTTCAAGCCTCCATGATATGCCCGGCTTAGTGGCTCTTATTTCAAGCCTCCATGGCAACCCGGACTTTTGGCTCTTATACACTGAAAACCGTTACTTGATAAAAACTTGAAAATTTTAACAACCTTTATTATGAAAACTTATTGCCCTGAACTTGCTTTACTGACTTGACTTAGGAAAATTGAATTTATTCCCAGTCTAACTCAAGGAATTCTTTCCTTTGAATATGCCAACAAATGGGCAAAACAGACAATTTTCAATAGAAAATGTCTGAGGAACATGATTGCTAAGATCTGTATAACATAATTGTTTACAAATCACTGAATGAGGCATTAACTTAATCTGAATAAATCTAGAATGGAATCTAGAATTCTCAGTCCTAGCCCCTTTTTAAAGTTCTGAAATCGTACTTGAATCCCCTCACTGATGACTTTATTGAAACTGATCAATAAAAGACACAAATCTCTTGACGAGTAGCTAAACATGACTGGGGAATACTGATATAAAATTCCGAGTATACTGGCTCCTGGTCATGAACATGATTCGAGCATCTTAACTATGTCATAACTGAGGAATTTCTGAGCATAGAAATAGTAAATTGTTTATAATCTGAACTTAATCAGCACTTACCTGGTAGTCGGCGAGGGGTGAGTATGACATATTCGGGTTTTCTGAAAACTTTCTGACTCATAAAAATTTTCAGAGACGCAAAAACGTTGCTCTGATACCAACTGTAACACCCCGCCTTGTCATAAAAATCAGAGTGCGCAACTCGCAATTTTATTGAAAATAACATCATTTTTACATTGCAAAATACTGATTCGGAGTGCTACTAAAATACATAACTGACTGAAAAATCTGAAACTT